ATCACCCTTGGTGCTCCTACAGCCATCCAAGTGGGGAAGAGGAGATGACAGAGGAAGAGGTGCACCCCCACGACCGGCAGCTGGCCAAGGTCCGAGCCCGGAGTAACAGCCGTTCCCGCCATCGATCCTCCTTCCTTGTGGACGAGCTTGACATGCTCATGGACAAGGCGGCCACCACCATCCAGGCCACGTGGCGAGGCCACCTCACCCGTAAGCAAATCATGACAGAGCAGGCTGCGGCTACCACCATCCAGGCGGCTTGGCGGCGATACATCGCTCGCGAATACCGTGCGATGCAGCGGCAGGAGGGGCCTCCGTCACAAGTCTACAGGCGCCGAAGGTCGTCCTCCGTCTCCTCCTTTGGGAGGGAGAGAGAAACCTGGGGACACCCCAGGATGGACCGGGAGAGAGCGGCTCAGATTATTCAGGCCCACTATCGGGGCTACATGACTCGCCAGGCCCTCGCCGAATGCCAGCGGGCAGCCACCACCATCCAAGCTCACTGGCGGGGATACCGTACTCGACAGGACTTGATCCAAGCAGGAAGGTCCATTTACCACCCTGGACGCCCACAGAGGACCTACTACAGTTCCCCAAGGGTACCAACGGGGACCTACTACGGCCATCCCAGCTACATGCCCGGAAGCTCCTCCTGGGTGGGCCCGTACCCCAGGAAACATTGGCGCAAGTGCCTTGTGGGAGACCCTGAGGAGTGGAAAAGCAAAGTGCCACGATCCTCATCCATCCTGGCCCAGCGAGAGGACACCGAGCCCTCCCAGCCCAAGACGTGTCCACGCTGCGGGAGGTGCACCAGCATCCGTGTGCTGGTGGGCGTGGGCAAAGGGCCGCCATCAGAATCGGAAGCGGAGGACAGTGAATGCGACAGGCACGCAAGTGTCTCTCCATCCAAGAATGCCCAAAGGATGTCCTACACCTCGAGGCAGGAGGGACCAGCGTACAGCCAGCCGCGCCATTACGGGCCACGCTTCTCCCATCAGGCACCTTCCAAAAGCTACCATATGCCTGCGGAAGAGCAGGGGCGGAGGCAGAGTCGGGAACCCAGCGTCATGGTCAGTCAGCGCCTGGTCCCCAGCACGCAAACCTCCGTACGGCTGACACGGGAGCGCACCAACACCCGGAGTCTTTCCTCCACCAGCGTCCAACCGCAGCAGCTTCAACAGCAAGGCATGTCTCCCCAGGGCACTTCCGACTGGTTGTATGAAAACTACGGGGCCCGCCGGATGGGCGAAGGCCAGAGGCGCGTGTTCAAAACCAGGAAGCAGGTGTGGCAAGTGGTACGCGCAGCCACCCTGATCCAGGCCTTCTGGCGGGGCTGGAGGGTCCGGCAAACATTGCGTCTCCAAGAAGAAGCGGCAATCAAGATCCAGTCCGCATATCGGGGTTACCGAACCAGAGCTTACCTGATGGAGGTGGGAATCCTCAGCGAAGGGGATACGGATTAACACGTTTTCGGGGGACCGGTCCTCTTGGAACTGGGGAAGGGGGAGAGGAAGAGGGAGGCTCAAAGGAGAACCCCGTTTCCACCTCTGTCTCCCTGCCTCCTCTAACAAGCAAGCTTGCATTCTAATAAATTGAGCCTAATTATGAGTGCTTCTCAGTTTTCTTTACAGGGAGTCCCCGATTCCTTTAGTGACCGTTTGAAGTTCAAACAGAACTAAAACTATGACTTAGCACCATTGCTCACGCTTACGACCATTGCAGCATCCGCATGGTCGTGTGATCAAAATTTGGACGCTTAGCAACTGGCATGTACTTACGACGGTTGCAGTGTCTCCAGATCATCCCTCTTCTGGCGAATAAAATCCATGGGGAAGCCATGTTCGCTTAATGACCCCGTTGCTCACTTAACAACTGCAGCGATACACTTAAAGACCATGGCAAGGACAGTCGTAAAATGGGGCAAGACTCACTTAACAACTCTCCTGCTTAGCAACAGAAAAGAACAGAAGATAATAGCACAACAAAATAAATAACGAAAGAGAACAAACGAGAAATAAAAACCACATGGTTACCAAAAAGGAACATGTTGGGCAGGCAAATAGCAGTAGCAGTAGAACTTAGACATATATACCACTTTACGGTGCTTTTACAGCCCTAAGTGGTTTACACAGGGGTGCGATTCAACCGTGGTAACAACCGGCTCGGGGAGCGCATGCACAGCGTCTAAAAAAGGCCATTTTCAGCTCTAATACTTACCTTCTACTGCAGCAAACTGCTCGGCTGTGCTCTAAAAAACCCAGAAATAAAGCATAGGAAACAGCAGGGGTGGGTGGGCGGGGCCAAATGCTCACCGGAACTACCAGTTCTCTCGAACCGGTCCAAACCGGTAGAATCCCCGCCCCTCTGGGTTGACAGAATCAGCCTCTTGCCCAGGGGTGGGATTCTACCAGGTTGGACCGGTTCTATAGAACTGGTTGTTAACGATTCTGCGCAGGTCAGAGAACCAACGAATCGTGCCACTGGCTGGCTCCGCCCCTCCCCTCCCCGCCACTCACACCTTACCTGGCATCCAACTTGCCTGCATTTGGTAAGTTGCTATTTTTCACCCCTCGACCATCAGCTGTTCTGCTGTGCAAATCGTTGGATTTCTTGCTTTCTAGCTAATCTAAAAGCAGAGCTGAGCCTGAAGCTTCTAGTCAGTGCAGACTCAGGTAGCAGATGCCAGAAAGATAGATCTCTGAGTGAATCTGTGATTCTGCGAGCAACTCAATCTGCCTGCCTGCTTTGCCTGATTTTGGGTAAAAGTTGCTCTTTTTTTAAAATAAAAAATTCAATATTTACATACATGGTGTGTTGTGAGTTAATTTTTGTGAGTTTGCTTGGCTAACAAATTTTATGAGTTTGCCTGCAAGCAAATTTTATGTGACAGGTAGAAGATTGCAGAAAGATGGATCTCTGAATGAATCTGTGATTTTGCAAGCAATCTGCCTGCTGCTTTGCCTGATTTGGGGTAAAAGCTGCTCTTTTTAAATAAAAAATTCAATATTTACATAAATATTTATAACATTTACATACAAGCCATGCCCAGCCACTCACATGACCACCAAGCCACACCCACAAATTAGGCCACGCCCCATAACAGGTTGTTAAGACATTTGAATCCCACCCCTGCTCTTGCTCACAACAATCTGGCTCCTCATTTTACCCACCTCAGAAAGACGGGAGGCTGAGTCAACTTTGATCCTGCTTAGATTCGAACTGCCAAATTACAGTCAGCCGGCAGTCAGCAGAAGTAGCCTGCAGTACTGCGCTCTAACCACTGCGCCACCGTGGGCTGCAATTTGTTTAATTTCTGTTTATGTAATATTTCTTGCTCTAATGTTTGTTCCCTGTTTTTGACAGTGAGATAGGTGGCATATAAATATTAAGGAAATAAATAACAAGTTGGTTAGAGAGATGCCACCACTGAAGTGGGCATCTCTGCAAAGATTTCAGCCAGCAGGACCCTTCAGCGTAAGCGAGATTCTCTCTCCCATTATCCCCTGCCTCCAAGTCCCTAAAAGAAGACAACGGAGCCTCGGCAGTGACGAGATGCTGGCTATATTTTATTGGCTTGTTTGCTTGGGAAAAAAAATAATCTCCCGTGCAGCCATTTTGTTCCTGGCGCAACTACACAGCTAGGTTGTTTTCTGTGCTCTTGGGACACACCTGATTTCATGGTTTGGGGACTGATGGGGAGAAGGAAGGAGATGTCACATTATCGCCGGCAGAGGAGTATAGTCCTCGAATTTACAACCCTTCGTTTAGTGACCGTTCAAAGTTACGACTCTTAAAAAAAAAAGTGACTCCGGGCCGTTTTTCACCCTTAATGACCGTTAAGTCATGCGATCAAAATTCAGCTTGGCCACTGACTTGCATTTACGATGGCTGTAGTGTCCCGGGGGGTCAAGCGATCACATTTTGTGACCTTCTGACACCAAGCTACGTCAAGAGGGGAAACCAGGATCGCTTCACAACCGTGTTACTAATTGAACAACCGCAGCGAATCACGTAACAACAACGGCGAGGAAGGCTTGCAACTTGGGGCAAAGCTCAATAACGTAGCTGCAGAAATGTTGGGCTCCACTGTGGTCATAAGTCAAGGACCAACCTGTAAGGTGGCATTAAGGAGGGGTTTTCGGTGGGATATACAAATTTTTATCCTTTAAAAAAAAAAATGACAGGCAAGCCAAAAAAAAAACCAAAACCCCACTGTGTGTCCTACTCAGCCTTCACGAGGGATTGTAAAGGCTGTCCTGTCATCACTGAAATCTGGGTCAAATTTGCACAGTTATGGTCAAATTTGCACAGTGAATGTCTCATTCAGCCTTCGGCGACTTTTTCCCCACAAGCTTGCATTTTCTCTGTGACCCAAAAACCCCTTACGTCCAGTTGCAGAATGCCCAGGGAGGGTCACCATTGGCAGCTGGCAAAAGTTCAGGGGTCAAAATCCGTTGCTGTCCATCAGCCGTCCGATCGCGCTTTTGACAGGTCTAAACGTTTGAAGATGTCCAGCTTGGTGGGCGAGGGGCCTCCAAGTCCAGTGTGTTGAGGAACGACATCGTCGTGATGGGGGGAGGAAGGTGTTATGGATCCCTTTCTTGCTTGGGCGTGTCCTGGAGGAATCCGATGGATCACAGTGAGAAGCTGGCCAAAGGGGGACCCTTCTAGCAAAGCTCTTCAGGTGTGCTAGGCTTTCCGATTGGAAGGTGGGCTTGAGGGACCCTCATGAATTGCTCCACGGCCTTTTCAGGGGACAACGGAGAACAAGATGGGGATGATCAACACGGTGAGGGTCGAACATGTCCCATAAGTAAGTAGCCACAAGGTCATAACTCTCATTGAACATACACAAGTCCTCTCCACAACCCGCGGCATGGTTTCCACCAGAGGTCCCAGGTTCCTTCCACTCAAGGCCCTGAACTTAAGCAGACGGTGGTAGGAGGAAGTCAAGCAAACGGCTCCGCTGGGGAGGGCCAGTCCGTTCACCCCACAGCTTCCACAGCTCCACTTAGCAGTGGATTTCGTACGCTATCTGGGGCTGGAGCGTCAGTCCCTGGTTGGCAAAGTGCTCGCTGCCTTCCTGGGGAGCCTCTTCTTCTCCTCCTCCTGCTCCTCCTCCTCCTCCCGGCGTCTGAGTCGCTTGGTCTTGCAGCTGCTCCGGAAAGACCCCGGCCAGGCCCTGGGGGTCCTTGTAGGTGGCGAAGAGGGGCTTATTGCGGTCGATGACGAACATCTCGTGGCCCCTCTCATCTCGGTACTCCTCCAGCTGCGCGAAAGTGGTGGGCCCGTCGGAGTAGTCGTTGACGTACAGGATGTTCTCCTCCTTCTTGGCCTTTTTCCGCTTGCGGTGTTTCCGGTAGATCATGATGACCAACAGCAGGGCCAGGAGGGCCAGCAGGGAGATGGCTACGGCGATGGCCGTCTGGGTGGCCATGCCCAGGGCGTGGAAATCCATGCTCTCCAGGTCGTACAGAGGCTCCTGGCTGATGTCGACCGAAGCCGCGGAGCCCTGCGACTGCTGCTGCTGCTGCTGCGAGAGGTTGACCAGGAGGTGGAAGACCACCTGAGCCATCCCGCCGGGGTTGGAGGCCTCGCACTCGTACTTCCCGGCGTGGGACACCGTCACGTTGTTCAGGAAGAGCATCCCGCTGCCGGTGTCCGACTGCTCGAAGCGCTCCCCGAGGCTGCGCTCTCTCAGCTCGAAGCTGCCGCTGGGCAGGCGGGTCCGGCTTCCCCAGGAGTCCCCGGCCCGCCAGTGGGCCAACTTACGCCAGGTCACCAGGGGCTGAGGGTAGCCCGAGGCCTGGCAGGAGACGCGCAGGTCGTCGCCCAGCCGGGCCGTGACCTCGAGCGGCTGCACGTGCACGACGGGAGGGATGCAGATCAAGCTGTTGCCGGAGACGTCAGCGAGGCTTTGGTAGGCCAGGCGGGGCGGCTCCGAACACTCGATCTTCTTGTCCTGGGGACTCAGGAGCCTCTGGCCTTCCTCTCGGATCCAGCTGCTGAGCCAGTGCAGAGCGCAGTCGCATCGCCATGGATTCTCTGCCGGGGGGGGGAGCAGGGGGAGGGAAGAAAAAAACGACAAGTATCCTGCGTCAACAGCAGTTCACGGGAGGTTTTGAAGAAAAGACTGGACAGCCCCTTGCCTGGAATGGGATAGGGTTGAGCAGGAGGATGGAGTAGAAGACCCCCATCAAGGCCCTGAACTTAAGCAGACGGTGGTAGGAGGTCCCTTCCGGCTCTATTCGGATTGAAATGGTATAGGGTCTCCTGATCAACCAGGATCCTGATCCTCATCCCTCCCTCCCTCCCTTCCCCCTTCCCCTTCTTTCTCTCCTTCCTTCCTCCCTTGGCCAATAAAGAATTCTCTTCTCTTCTCTTCTCTTCTCTTCTCTTCTCTTCTCTTCTCTTTTCTTCTCTGCTCTTCTCTTCTCTTCTCTTCCTTTCCCTTCCCTTCCCTGCCTTTCCCTCCCCTCCCCGTCTCTTCTCTTCTCTTCCTCATTCCATTATTCTATTCTATTCCTATTTATTTCCATTCCATTCCATTCCATTCCATTCTATTCTATTCTTTCCTTATTCTATTTCCATTCCTTATTCTATTCTATTCTTTCCTTATTCTATTTCCATTCCTTATTCTATTCTATTCTATTCTATTCTATTCTATTCTATTCTATTCTATTCTATTCTATTCTATTCT